AACAACAAATGTACTGAAATAAACAGTTACAATAAGAAAACAATAAGGAACGAATGTATTGTATGACATTACTGCACAAAAGATACAAAAGGAACACAGGGGGAGGCTAAAATAACAAGAAAAACCCCTGACAAATGCAACTTGCTATAAATGTTTTTTTGTTTTTGTTTAAAAAAAAAAACTATGTAAAATGTACAACAAGTAATTAAACTCAGGACTTTTTTGTTGCCTAATATAGAAATGAACAGTTAATGAATACATATAAAGGAAGAAATTAGCTCAGCATACACATTATTGCTGTTTTGGTCATTTACAATATGAGTTAATTTTCGGAAACTTAAGTAAAATGTATTTCATGAGTGCTCTTAAGACAATGAGAAAGCAATCTTCTCCATATTTTAGGGAACCCCAGTGATTGGTCTGCTTTCATCAGCTCACTGTGATGAGAATAACTGGGAAACGAGTTCTGCTTTTAATCCAGCCCATTTCCTGGATGAGAAAGGCAATTTTAGAAGGAGAGAGGCCTTTATCCCATTCTCTCTAGGTAAGTGTGTGGGTTCTTAACACAAAGAAATATAAGACTAAGACATAAAATCTAAGACAAACATTAAGATGGCTTAACAGTTTGCGATTCCCTGATTTCTTGCAGGGTCGAGGGTTTGTGCTGGAGAGAGTCTGGCCAAGATGGAGGTTTTCCTTTTCTTCGCTTCCCTCCTCCAGCGCTTTCGATTCACTCCTCCACCTGGAATGACTGGAGATGACCTGGATCTGACACCAGTTGTAGGGTTCACCCTCACCCCTTTACCTCATAAGCTCTGTGCCATCAGCAGATTTTAAAGATTAAAAGTGTAGAACACACAAGTGCTATTTTTCTTTAACCATTTTGGTTACACAAAAACGCAAACAACAAGCTGTAGGAGTTTGATCTGCTTGTTCTTATCAAAGGTATTGTTGTCATTGTTAAAATCAAGTTTGCTGTTTTTAAACACACCTATCATAAATCCCCTTAATGAAGTTTTTAAAATTTGGCTACAAACACCATGGAATCAGGGATGAATTAATTAGATTTTGGTGGTCTAAAGCCACTGTAACCTCATGAAACATTTTTGGCAATAAATCAAGAATTCAATAAAGAAGCAAGGATATTTTTATTATCCCTAAAGGACAATTTGTTGTTCAGACAGCAGAAATCACACAACCATCAAGCAAAATGCAATAAATGTACAAAAAAAGCAGGAGTAAGAACACAGGCTAGTATTCAATGTATTTGTCCTGTATAATGTTTGCAGTTAGATGGAAGCAACGTAAAACTGTCCTAACTTCAGAGTCCTAATCTTATGTGTACAGCTCAGAAAGGTCATTCAGGGTCAAATGGAAGCATATGTACAATATTTGGTTAATTTGACACATTTTACTGCATCTATTTCTACTTTCATTTAATTTTGCTCTCTTAGCTTTTCAGGTTGACCTTTTGATTTTTGTTTCCTCATGTGTATCAATCAATTTTTACACACCAAACTCTGTTCAACAAGGTACATGAGCGCACGGTGAAGATAGTGGAGGGGCCCATATTTGCATTGGCCCAGTAGGTAAATGCCACAGCCCTAGATTCAGTGACCCTGTACTAGCTGATCAAAGAGATTATAATGCCACTCCCCTCAGCTGAGTTGTAATGGTGGCTATTTGTATCCCTCTGTTGGTCTAGAGCTGTACAGTTATGGTCAGAAATGTACTCATCATGGGGATGAATGTCATGGTAAATTTCGGGTTTTAAGGATTTCTTTAAACTTTCCGTTTATACATTATTCTAAATTATTGTCTATTTTCTCTAATGCACACAGGGTCAAATATATGCATATAACCCAACTAATATTTAGTTAAATATTCCTCAGGAAGCTCTATTTCGACCAGATGGTCACCATCAGAAGAATTCTGGCATAAATGTGGCTGGTTATTTGACCACTCTTCTTTGGTAGAAGTAACTTTAAATGATTAAACTGGTTAAATTGCTCCATCTTTTTCTCCTCATCTAATTCAGGGTTACAGGGGCTGGAGCCTATTCTAGATGCCATAGGGCGAGAGGCAGGGTATGCCCTGTGCAGGTCACCAGTCTGTCGCAGAGAGACAGATTTACACTCACATTCACACCTACGGTCTTGACGAGCTGGCAGATTAGAACCCAGGGCCTCACTTCATTGTGGATGGTGACGCTGGCGTTCCAGCAGTTTCCACTTAATGGCAGACTTGAGCCGTTGTAGTTTCTGAACATCCTAACCAATTTCCTCTCATGTGGAGGGGGACAGTTTGAGTATTCTTTCACTCTGGCAAAGTGGTTACACATCTGAATAACTTACAATTATTTAAACTTATTTAAACTATTTAATCTTGGAATCTGCATCTATCCATCTATCTGCTACACAAAGAAACTGCCAGTTGTAGTGAAACATGATCACTAGCAAGAAGTTAATAGGAGCTGGCCTTGTCAAGTTAAAAGACATTTGGTCCTGTGTGGATTAGAGAAAGTCCAAGATAAATTCAAACGGCAACCAATTCTTGTTTTTTTTTTTTTTTTTTTAAAGTCATTAAAGATGTTTGCTTTACAATCATTCCACCCTGGAAAAAAAAAACCACACTTAAAAGAAATAATTAAAAGCCCAATTACTACCCATTTATGCCCACAACAGTATACAGCATGTAAGGCTAAAAGCACCAGATTTATTTTCTGTATAACAAAAAAAAAGTTTTACAGAAAGAAGCATTACCATTACTTGTCTTTTAGCATAACAATGAAAGTGTTGTCCTCTTCCTTTATATTCAAAATAAGGCAAACACCCAAAACTCGTCACCAATCTAGATGGATAAATACAAATACCACAGAAAAAAAATATACACACACGTGATTTTGTCCTGAATCACCCCTTTTAAGAATCACGTTTTCCTTTTTGTTTTTTTATTTAAGCATTCTCAGTTTTATATGAGAATGGCTTGTCATCTCTAAAATAGTGAAATGGAAGCATGCTTTGGATCATAATAAGGTCCTTGTGTTTTATAATCAGTTTGTGCAGATGTATGAAAATTAACAGTTGATAATGCCAGTAATGGTGATATAAGATAAACATGTCATTTAAAATGTCTGAATTATTTGTTGCCTGTAGCAAATACAAATTATAATATTTACTAAAAGATTGTAGTATCCTATTGCTGATTGTACCCTCTCCCTTTGGGAAAAAAAAAAACTTGCTACATTGTTTATTGTTATATTTGAAAACATGTTCATAATGCTACAGTCACTCTAAAAAAAGTACATCAAAGCCCTTGTGGTCCTCAAACAGTGTGTGGAATCTAAAGCCATCTATGGTCCTTCCACTTTGATAATATTGATCTGCTGGTCCTGTGAAGAGTGGTCCGAGTTCAGCACTGGTTGAGTGGAAACGCTGCAGTCCTGGAAAGTCCTTGTTGAGCAGCTGCTTTGGAATTCCGATGTTTTACTCTCCAATGCTCTGAAAGTCTGAGGATGTGACTGTATGCTGTATGTGGAGACATATGATTGCGTGTAGGGAGGCATGAGTGGTTGACTGGTCTGCTGAATATATGCAGCTGAATAAGGTTGTGTTTGAGAAGGGGTGTGAGTAAGAGGAAGGCTTTCAGTATTGCTACATGGTGGAAACCCATTCACGGTTGTAGGACTGAGTCCCGGCAATTTAAAGGCCTCCACATTTTCTAAACCTTCTAAAGAGCTGTAGCTAGGCTGGGTTTGGCTACACTGAGTGTAAGTGCCTTGACTAAAACTGAAGGTGTCTTGGTTAAACGAGGTAGAGGCAGAAGCTGCTGCCAAAGCAGAGGGTGAAGGAGTCTTGTTTTTCTGCTTTTGAACACTGCTACCATGACTCATTTTGGTTGCAATGGTCTGTAGAGTGTTGAGGATCTGCTTCTGAATTTGGGTCTGCTGCGACTGCTCCCTCTCCAGACGGCACTGCTGCTCTACAAGCATCTTCACTGCCAGGCCCAAGCTGCGCACTTCAGAGCCCAAACTCTGAATCTGATCCTGGAAACCGCTTCTGACTCCAGCGTCCTGGGCTGCCTGCTGTGGACTCGGGTTCCCTTCAGTACGAGGAGCACCCTGACTCCCAGGGGCCTGTATGCGGATAACAGCGCCCCCGGGAGACGCAGATGTTAAAGGTGCTTGTGGTCGGTTAGAAAGACGAATCCCAACTCGAGGAGGAGGATGAGGGGGAGGAGGAAGGGAACGAACAGATAGCCCTGGTCTCTGGGTGAGAGAACGTCTAGGAGCGCTGCTACTTCCAGGCTGATTCCCTGTAACAGTCTGTGTAACATTGAAAACATTTCATTTAAAATGGTGTTCGCATTGCAGTCGTACTAACAAAAAGCTCAACAACAGATGATGTTTGTATGGCCAGGCTCCCAGACTCAGATCAGAAAATAACAAATTTTTTTTTTTTTGGGTCAAGCAAAAAATTTACCAAATACAAAACACAGAAATGTTTTAAGAGAAATAAAAGTGGCGATAAAGAGTCTAAAGACCCGACCATATCACTCCCATGAGGTGACAGCTAAAATTGTGTAAGGAGAAATAAAGCCTATGATTTAACAGGTACTCTCTGATGGTGATAAACTCACGTCTTTGTTTAGTAAAAGGGATTCAAAAGCTAAGTGTTAGCTAAAGCTAAATGTATCTCACCTTTTCAGTGGTCAGATCGTAGGTTTCAGGTGGCTGTGGCACAGCATTCCTCATGTCAGTGCCCTGGACACTTGACGGATCTCTCCTTAACAATGATGCCACTGTTGAAAACTGGTGAAAAACAACGTATGAAAGACTGAATAATATTTGGAGGCTAGTTTATGGTAAATTACACAGATTCCATGCACCTGAAGAGTAAATATAAGAGGTACAACTGGGATTATGACACTAAGTACACATCAGTACACTAATGCTTAGGTACCTTCAATCTGTGTGACAATGCTTTATCCAAAATTCTCTTTCGAGCTGCCAGCATTGAACTAGTGGCTGGAGAAGGTGTGACTCTCCGCCTCACTGCTGGTGTGGAAGTCATAGCACTGGTTTCTGACCTTGGTAGAGTGGACTGGGGAGCTCTTTGTTGGCTCTGCTGTGCAAGTGACGTGACACTGACAATCTGGATATCATTTTCATCCTTATGTTCTTCAGGTTGCTGTTCTTTCCTGTTGCCTCCACTGGTTTCCCCGGAGGAAGAGCCCTCTGAGCTGGTGGGAGTCTGTTTAGCAAAGTCAGCAGCAGCTGCAAAGCCAAGACGTTGAGATGAATCCCGTAATAGGTTTCGGATTTGAATGTTACTCCAGCTCTGCTGTACTGCTCCAGTTTGAGCTTGCACCTGTGCTGGTGATGTGCTACTTCCCGGCTCTACAGGTCTCACCCTCCCTGGCGGCCTCCCCTGGAACTCTCTCAGGAACAAGTAGATGGCCTGAGCGGAAACCTTAATGTTCTCCAGCTCCAGCACAGCTTTGATTTTACGGAAACTCAGGCCAGCCTTTCGCAGCTCTACCACTTTGTGCTTTGCAGCATCATCGAGCCGGCCCATGGTGAATTCACCTGTTCTGACCTGTCATAAAAAAGTGAAATTTAGAGTATCTTTAATAATATTATTATTATTAATAATAATATGTATAATAATATAGGAAAGTGGGATCTCTGTAACAATGTTAGAGTTGTAGGGTAATAGCAGCCTTGGCAATAGCTTTGAAATTAAAAAACTAAAAATCCACATATTGTGAAAAAGTATTTGCCTCCTTTCTAATTTCTTACAATCAGGAAGGGGGCAAATACTTTGTCATAGCACTCTTCATAGCACAAATGTAATACACATATGATAATATAGTAAATTGTAATTATCCTCTTTGGAGCTAAAAGAGGCCACCCAAACATGTGAGATATCGATGGAAAGCCCAGGATGTCCTCAGTTTAATACATTAGGACTTAGTAGGGTAACTCAAATAAGTCAAAAGACATGTCATTATGAATTCTTCCTGCTAATATAAAAGAGATCATCATGTCAAGCTAAACTACAAAATCAGGAAACTTCTTTGGAAATGTGGTTGTCATAACAAAAAGATCAACTTACTGGCTAAACGGAGGAAACTGAAAACACTGCCAATATCTTACATTATCATATAAATATGAAATACAACCAACTATAAATCCAGCGCATAAGAAACCGTTTT